AACCTATCCCTGTCATTTTGATCATGCACGCAGCCAATTAGCCTTAGAAAACCCTGTCACGGTAAACTCAGCCTCCTTGCATCTGTTCCAGCCGTGTCCTTCAGCCGGCTTATGGTGATGGACAGCGAAGCGCGGGGACCGAGTTATTGATCAGGTCTGTTTTGTTCGGCTTCTTTCCTCAAACTTTAGTGACACTGAGATCATGTTGCACCGTGAACACAAGAAAGATTAAAAAGCGCGGCGGGCCTGTTCTGTATTTGGCTGTTTTACCTCGGCAGTGTTGGGTTTTGTTCGGCACGAACATATTGTATAATCAGGACAGACAGTTTGGGCAACGGCTGAATGTGTTTGGCTTATCTGGCCAGACTGACGCTTCGCATCTCAGACAGAGATTGTCTCAGATGGGAAGCGGAGTTTCAAACAACCACAGTGCCTTGTTCAGTAATTGTAACAGGCAGATGTATTGACACAGATTTTTAGGGGATCATTAATGTTCAATTTGGTCTACTACAAAACTGGCTTTTGCTTTAACTGGCACCAAGGAGGGAATCCTGACGCAATTCATCAGTGAACACGGACAGTCGCCGGAGAAGGAAAACAGTCACAGCGTGCAGACAATCTGTTTTACAAAAACAGTGTAAAAAACAACCTTTGTCCAACTGTCGGGCAATTTCACTTCTCTAATATATGAGTATATAATGGCTCACTATTAATCACTATCTCCCTTCCCTGCGCCTGCCAATGCTGAAAGTTCAGTAACTTTGTATTGCCATCCATATCCCTCTCTCTTTTAATCTTTGTCCTAACTAAAGCACTCTCATTTCCCCTATAAAACCAGGCGGAGGTTAAGAGGACACGCATCGGATGTGGGCAGCAAACACCGGGAGCTGAAACGGGTTACAGCGTGTATCACTCACTCCTAGCATTTTATGTGGCAACTTCAAGATGAGCTGTGTGAGCAAGAATGCCATCAGTCTCTCCCCGACGATCCTCCTAACTCACAAGCCCTGTTTTTTTGTTTGATGTGCCACATCCAGCTAACAGTGAGATTAGTGCACTTGCGATCGCACACCCTAAATCCTTCTCCCCGCTCATCCTCACGCATGCCTGAATTGTGCCTTCTCACCTGCCGTGGTTTCTGGCTGTGGCTGCATTCCGCCCAGGCTCACTTGACCCGAGCTGGTAATGCATTACTCCCAAGATCAATTGATAGATTGGCCCCGTCAGAGCTGCCGTAACTAAATCAGCTGCTGCTGATGATTCAGCACCAGCCGGGGAGCCGGGCCTGCTGTCACCAATCACAGATCACCAGCAACAGAGACAGGTATGGACATTCTCCTGTCACTTGAACCTAATTTATTGCCAGCTACCACATTGATTAACCTTGTGCTGTGGTTTAAGCTTCCTATAAAAATGTGTATGTGGGCAGCGGGAAGGGGGCTGGCTGGCTGAATGTAGAAGCGGGAGGAAACATAAAGGGAAAGGTAATCTGTCCAGTCATTACCTCAGAAAACTTTGAACAAAGAGACTTTTGCTGTAATGTCAGTGGCAACTGATAACATTAAGCTGGGGGGAAGCCTGCGTCCAGATGTTTTTTGTGATAAAAATTTGGTTAAAATTAATACTTTCCATATTGAGCTGAGAGCTATTTCTATACTCTCCAGCTTGGATCTACTTCATTGGCAAGGACTTTCATTCATTACCCATAATCTATGGTGGTTTCTCAGCGGTTACGGTTGTACTTTTGCAGGGTTGTCTAATTGGGTTCACACATGATCCAGACACTTGCCAGTCTGTTCAGTCTGTTTCTTATTTCAAATTAGAATTTGCATTAGCACTTAGAAAATCTCATCATGTGCACTGGGACCAACTATCAAAAGCTATGCTGTGACTTTTTACTGGTTGATTTCTCTTTAGCAGTCAGTTCGAGGTAAAACCTTGTATTTGACAAACTGACCTGTAATTTGCCAGCACAATTTCCGTTAAGCCAGGTCACAGTAATGTGTGTTACATGTAACGAAAACAGTTAAAACTTCTCTTAAAAATGAAGGAATGAATTTAAAGCATTTTGGAGAGGAGTTTGATTTAATGTCATCATAGCCATTTTTGTGTATATTATTTATGGAATAATACACCTCATGTGCAGGCCTGGGAACTTCCATTTCAACCTGTGGTTGTTGATTCACCCTCACAGGGGATGCTGCGCCGGGGAGTGGAAGCGTTCAGTTTTTTGTGTCTTGTGTCTCTTATTTGCTAGGACATCCAAGGGCTGTCAGAAATCTCCCAGCTGTAGCCTCTGAAACACAACTCACGGGCCTAATGAAGCAAGGCACAATTACTTGCTGCTTTGCCTTAGGAGGAGGAAGGGGCATTCGAGTGTCCACGAACACGCATATGATGCTTTTTGTTTAAAGAGCAAGTGAACAAATACAATGTAGGTGGCATTTACACCATTCTCGAGGCAAACGATGGCTGCGCTGATTTGATGCCTTCTTTCGAGCAGATCGTCACAAAGTCAAGTTCCATAGTAAAAAGAGCCCGACGGCATTCATGTCAAAAATATTAGTGATCACTTTTAAAGGAGAGCATTATGTTCCCCTGTGCGAACTGGCGTGTGACACAGCAGAATACAAAATGTTGAAAACAACAAGGGGATAAAACAATTAGCAAAGCTTTGACAACACTTACAGGTTATTCCGCCAAATAGCTTGTGTAGAAACTGATGCTGTGGCACTGTTAATATTATGTTAAAACTAGAGAGGATCTCTAATCTAATGAGGACCCTTACCTAGCACCACATTATTTGTAGGCTACTTCATGAGCTCAGATGCCAAAGTAAATACATATCATTTGGTTGAATATGATATAGCTTTCTTGCTAATTGCTCGATGGCCAGAAATGACACTCGATGTACACTGGATCAACCTAGGACAGCAAACCATGCAGATAATTCCAAGCATTATCTTTAAAAATGTCCCTTTGGCCCATCAAACAAAACCCTAAATGCATTAGATGGTGCAGGTTTAAATATTGAGTTTTTTATAATATTCACCCAAATAAAGTGTCATGAGAGCGCCTCACTTTTCCCACACAGTCCCACGCGCGGTTACCTATTTGACACAGCAGCAGTACTGATGTGCCAGTAATGGTTCACAAAGATGAAACTAAGCAGCTGAAAACAAAGGACAGGGCAACAAGTTCTTAGGAAAACACATTTCTATTCATTCTTAATTTACCACCAGCAGCATAGCACATCTCCCGAGCTTCTTCCTCCACCGATGGCAATAATACCTGAGGCTAAAATGACCACTGTGGACTCTGAGTCCCAGTTTAGTAGAACATACAGGTACATTACAGGCACGTTGTACACAGCAATAACTCACCAAGCGCTGAAGTCATTTGGATGTTATCAAATGATTCAGGCTGGCCTAGTAGGTGGCCCACTGCAAACGTTATATTTTCAGAGATGGGGCTCTGTTGAGGGCACCTGCAGGGTTGCTATGTTAATAGTGTCTCAACATCAACTCTCCGTTATCATTTCCATGAAAACCTCGAAAGAATGTTATTGTAAAAAGAAAAATGTATTCATTCTAATTGAATTGAATTACATATAAATACTGTATATATACTACAGCTTTCTTTCTGAAATTAACACAGCGTAAACTGTTCTTTATCACCATTTAAGTAATTTACTTTTTTAATTTAATTAAAATCGATATGTAATACAGTCATTTACTCAAACGTTATAGTTTACATGTAAATTTGAATTAAGGTTATACTGCATAGTTTGGAATCAGTTAATGGGAATAAAGTACCCCACTTGTAAGGGTATTTTTGTGATTAAGTTGAATGAGTTGTTTGTTAGCCGTAAACCCCTGGATAATCTTTTTTTACATTTTGTGCCGTTTATTCAGATTAATTTCTCCAGGTACGCATATGAATGTGTTAGCTGGAAACATACTTCAAGTATTGTGCCAACAGTTTTCTCCGCAGTTAAATGCAACAATGAGTCCACCACTATTACGAAGATAAAACCTTTGTAATTAGAACCTTTCAGAAATCTCAAGGCTCCTCTTTAATGGGGCAATCGCAGAATTCAGCACAAAGAACTAAATTATCAGTGCGAGGTCAATGACTGTACCCAAGTGAATTTGGTATTTTTGGTTGTATTGAGAAAAACGCATAGCTCCATATGCACCCAGGGGTCTGTTAAGGAAGCATCTGATTGATCACTCTTGGCCAGACGTAAAACCCTTAAACAGGCCGCATGATAAAAACGGCTCAGCAAAGGGAGAGCGGCTTCTATGAAACAATGCTGCTGCCCAACAGCTTAACAGTCGCTATATGCAAATGTGCGCATTAGCAATACGGCATCAAGCCAAAAGCCCATCATTTCCATCATAATGGGGACATGACATTATCAACAAATTAATGCTAGAAATAGACCTAGTCCACACATGTCTTTTTCTAAGCATGTCAAAGGGCTCATTTTCACCACAGGCTTACCTTTCATCTTCTCATCTCCTCCCACCTTTGCACCTGTCGCACTACTCTAAGAACAAAAATACCAAAGCGGTCGGAAAAATGGGCAATTTGGGGCAAAGAGCTAACTAACATGTAACGCGGCTTGAACAATAGTGATTGCACTGCCTTAAAAAAAATAGTGCCTGGGCACGCCAAACAAAGGACATCCTTCCGGGTTGAGTGAGGCTGTGTTGGCCTAATCACAAGGCTTTTGCTTTAAATACAACACTTGACGGCAGGTAAAAATATCATGGGCGAAAACATCATGTTTGAAATAAAGTGGTGAAAAGTGTTTGATTCTGCCTGTCACCAACAACGTCGGACAAGCAAACGCGTTGAAAGAGAGAGAGAAGTGTGGTCCCGACGTTGCAGAGAAGACAAAGGCGATCAGCAACACGCCTCCACGGCGCTTTTGTGATCTGAGTTTGCAGTTGCACTCAGCCAGAGATTATCAAATCATCAGAGAGGACACTTACATTGTTCATGTACTCGCTCAACAAGTCTTGCAGGGCCTGTCGGACGGCGTTGCACTCGGCCACGATGCGTTCGCGGCGGTCGTCACGTGTGCACGAGGAATCCGCCATCAGAGCGGCACCACTTATGATGCTCTCCAAGCGCTCCTCCAGAGAGGGACGGAAACGAGCCTCGCTGAATGTCAGAGGGTCCAGAATGATCTTGTTCTGAAGGGCGAAAAGAGACAGGGAGAAGGTCAGGACAGAAACAAAGGCTTAAATCAATCAACGGCGTGCTACATGGAAAATATACACGCAAAATATGCAAACACAATCTCAGATTATCGATTTTTTCGGAGAGGGGAATACTAAATGTTGTTTGTTTACAGGTTTATTAAGATGTATGCAAATTGCCGCACAGAGTGAGGCTTAATCGTTCCAAAAAAAAGCATCCACCATGACTCAAATAAAGCATGGAGAAAAGGTAAACAGCAATCAGATTCCAATCTCACCAAGAGGGAAATTGCTTTTCCATATATGATTTTAACGTATGGTTTCAACCTGGTAATAATGTAAATTGTACAGATATTTATTTCAATCCGGAAAGATACCATGAATCAGTGGATAAACTCACAGGGCACAACAGGTACGAGTGATTTTATCCGACCCCCTTTCCATCTATTGACGAGGGGATGTTTATCTAATAGTGGTTCGAGTGTAGTCTTTCCACCCAGGATCTACCAAACTAACGAAAAAGAAGAAGCGTCCTAAGCTTCAGCAACCGTTAACCGTGGCTCTGTAGTAATCAAGACAAGTGTTGGCTAACAGCACAGACCAAAGGTACGGTGTTAGGTCTCCCTTTAGCAAGTCTAATTCTGGGGCAGGATGACAGCCTGTCAAATGATGCACAATAACATGCAAGGTACAAGAGAGCAAGCACCAAGCATAACCCACTTTCGCAGCTGGCAGGGAAGAGAAAATATAAGATTTTGCCGAATAAAAGAAGAAAGACAAGGATAAAGGAGAGAGAGAGTTTGGGTATTCAGGATGAAAACGAATAATAGATCGGAGGGAAAGCTAGAAGAAAGGAATTCGAAATGGCAAAATGACAAAACAATGAGCTAAACTAGGCGTTATGGAGAAAGGATGTCAATAGTGGTTAAACATACACCGCAGCTAGCTTACAACAAGTGAGATCTCCCAATATGTGACCTTTTCAAATCAAGGCGTTTAATGTTCTTGTTCCTGTTCATATCCTGAAGGAATGATGAAAGCAGAACACATGAAGCCACTCTTACACTCTATATAGCCTTAGATATATATATTTATATTATCAAAAAACAAAAGGTAATATTACAACTCCCCCGACAGCTGGAGAAGCTGTCAAAACCTTTTTAATTTTTAATTGTTAAACTGCAAACTACCTTTTTGAATGATTGCTACCTACTAGCCATGTTCCCGCTGTATCCAGAGAGGTGCACGACTTTATTTAGCAAAATGGGACAGGGACAAGAAATACATTTTTAAGATATAAGTTACATTTATGAGAAAGTATCTAATAATGAAATGGTGAGTCACTATGCACTATGCAACATGGAAGTTAGAATCTAAAGACCATTGTTGCCTAAAGGAAATACATTCCCGTGAAAAATAGTAGAGAAAGGCTGCACATGACTTTTGCTACTAGGCAGTTTTTCATCAAGTTAATGTAATACTATAATAAACCATCTTGTGTTCCTCCTCCAACTTTGTTGTACAGTATAATGGTTCTTCTTTGGTTGACATCTACTACTCTGAAATAAAAGCTTTACGAGGGAAAATAAATTGATCACAACGCAGCTCAACATGAGAGGAAAATGTGTTTTTCTCCACACAGGATGTCAGGTTGTAATTGTGGGTGGCTTTCAGGAATCGGCAGTATAGGCCGCAGCAGTATAAAGAGCTGTAAATAGCGAGTTGACAAAGGCTGAGAGGTTTTCAAAGTAATTGGCAATGGCTGAAGTCATCCTCCAAGAAACTCACTAAAAGAGTGTCAGTTCCCTCGACGAGATTCATGTTGGGGACTTTTGCTTAAATTATCTATCTATATCTATATATAGATATAGATATAGATATTATATATATATCAGATGAATACATCTTCAAATACAGTTTATTCCAAATTACAGGACTAAAATAAAATTTCACTAATCAGATATTTAACATTATACAGTATATAGATTGATTTTTTTCTGAGCTCTCTGACCAACAAATGGTGATTACGTGATCAATTCCTGTAATTTCTTCCAGAAAAGACTACTTTTTCCCCAACCTGGTGCTAGGTCAAATGTATTATTATTTTAATTTTTTTTAAATGTCCCCTCACCTAACTTATCCCAATGTTAAACAGATGTTTTGTAGTTTCATGATGTCTTTGCACTGACTTGTTAGACAGTTTGTACCTGCAAGCTAAGGAAATAGTTAAGTCTTTTCCTCCATTCTATTAAGCCCATAATGCAATGTGAAAGTTGATTTTGACATTGCATCAGTGCCGGAGGCCACCTTGGCCAACAGATAACCTCACCCACAAAGGGTGAGGCTATTAGTTTGACCCTAGTTTGGGGCATCAACCAGTAAGACGGGGAACATGTCATATCATCCTTTGTCAAATGCGCCTTCCAGGACTTATCCAATATTTGACAACTGTTGCTCTAAGGAGAGTTCAACTAGTCGCGAACATACCACAGTATCGCTTTTGGGGACCCCAATCCAGGGTTTCACTGATTGTGAGCATTATGCTGTTTGACAAAGCTCTGTCCACACTTGCCAGGAGGCGCATTAGTCTCTGATTGATTGACCTTAATGAAGAGCGGCTGACTCAGGGTTAGGGTTCAGCCTTCTACTGTCACAGACTAATTATGTGTGCGTGTGTGTGAGAGAGTTACATAACATTGTATACGTTAAATCACCTTATGTCAGTAAATTGTGAATGAACAAATAAATTAGTCTAGTGGGTGAATGTTGTTTTATTTACAACTGTTATTGTGTGACAAAAGAACATATCCCGATACCATCCCGTCAGTGTGAGGCTTTCTGGGGGTTTTACCAGATATGGAGCTTTTTAGGCAAATCAATCAAGCTCACCTCAAGGGGCTTTACAGTCCGTGCAGCCTACCACAACCTCAGTCCTCACTTCGTACAAAAATAAAATGAGAACATATTGTAATTCCTGTGGAACCCCAGGGGACGCACTCTTTTTGAAAGGAGGAAATAAATAACAGCCGAATTCAAAAATACAGCCCCAATCCTGCATTTCTCCCCGCTTCGTCCGATAAGTCCTTCTTAGCATACGAGCGTGGGCATACGCACGTGTTGCGTACAGCAACCTGTACTCCAGATAACATACTATGACTCAAGGATCGGGCTGCCAAAGGATTTTAGAGATAAAGAAACCGCGGCTTCACCTTGTGCTGCATGTACCTTGTCAATGACCCACAAGCATCCAAAACGTTGTTCAGCTGCTCATCGACACAGCCGAGGAAAAGACTGGTTATATAAAAAAACGTTTTCCATTGATTTTTTTCCGTTGTGTGTACCCTGTCCAGGGACATTGTCCAGACTGAGACACATCTCAGGAAACAGGGCACAGGCATGGTCGAGAGGTATCTGGCAACAATGCGATATGATCCGCCGTCTAAAGGGTCAGGGACAAAACCATCGCAGCAGCGTACTAAACTCGCTAAGGAAACCATGCAGCGCGTAATAACACATCGCTACCTGCGCCTTGATTAAAAGAGTTCTTCAATTAAAATGAATTTGCTAAATCCATAACAAATGCTCCGTACCATTACCTCTCAAGCTACAAGCTGGGTTTGTATTTTACTGTGAAGTAAACTCTGTAGCGCTGAACTGTTATACAGAAAAACAGGACATTTGGTTCTCACAGGACAGGATCTGTGCTGAATGTTTAATAGTCATATCATTTTAAGTAAGATGCATCGCACTTGAAGGTTGAAAAGTACTTTCAATGAGCCTTATGGGTCAAAACACAAAATGTGAACAAAGACGAACACAAAGGCCCTTATTTAATTGCTTTAACAGGACATGAATACAAAACTGGTGTCAAAAACGTGGTCATTCTCCAACCTCAGAATGTGCAAGAATAAATGTTTGGTTGTAATTTCTGAATAGGTAATCAGACCAGAAACGGAGTGAGGGTGGGGGGCACCAAGTCATCTTAATTATATCCATTCCCAAAAAACAGAATAAGTGGATTGCAATCAAACATTATTGTGCACAAATTGTAGCCAACTGAAACACAAATTAGCTTCTAACTGTGTCTCATACTGGAGTGAAAAAAACACACCATTTACTTACTTTTACACCTTTCACACTCAAAGTCAAACACATTCAAACTACTGCTTTTATCATCACAGTTGCCATGAGACAACTTATTCTCATCAAACGCAAAAGAAAAGGGAAATATAATTAATGAATATGTAAATACATATTAACATGTACTATGGTTAGACACTAGAAGAACACAAGCATGAATCTCCAGGCAATTTCATCAACTCAACCCTCGTCAATAAAGCAGCCAATTTGAAAACCGCAACCACACATTCCATCTGATAAGGTGACTGTTCGATAACAGCATTAGTCCAGTGTAGAACTTTAAAACCAGCTAGTGGGAATTTAAAAAATCCATTCGCTTTGTTGTAAAAAAAAAAGCTCAAATGTGCTGCGACAATGAAGACACATATGTACTGTACATAGACCAGCACATAGGATACTTTTGTCCGCGGTTATAGCTCCTAGGATGAACGTACAGTTCAATGTATTCAACAATCCAATCAAAATAAAGAACGTTCAAATGAACTTCCAAGATGATGATTACTCTGCTGCACATCAACTCAAAGGACATATCTTGGAAAAGGCGTTCTTGTGTGTAAATGTCTTCCTTTCACCATTGTAAGACCATCATTGTACTCGACTATTATCAAGTCGAGTGGTATTTCCCTGTTGGTTGGATTCACATCGCATAGGTAACAAACATTGCCATGGAATTTATTGGTTTTCTGGTAAAATAGAGTTGCTAGCAGGATTTAAACTGAAAGTGCGCACTTCCTAGATTAATTATCTCACAATGTCCACAATGAATTCATTTCCACTATAAGGCATATGGGTCTTACCCCTAAAACATGCGATCGAGCTAGGTAGAAGCAAAAACAAGACTTACGATGAGAACT